TGGTTGCTAGGCTCAATGGTATCACAGTATACTTCTGAGGAAAAGGCTTGGCCAACTGAACCAGCAGTTGAGAAGCCTTAGCACCTAGAGGAGTAGAGCAGCATTTGACAAGTTATCCTCTCCCGAATAATTAGAGTGAATAGCACAGCTGGGGTTCTGAATACTAACATCAGCAGACAGGTGTGCAGCCTGAGAACGTGAGGAAGAGCAACAAACTAGCTGCTACTGTGTCAGGGGTGCAAGTGCTTGAAGACGGCGGTTTTCCTGGCTTAACAAAATCGGCAACTATAGACGGAATGGAGCTTGAATGGAGTTTTGTGAAGAGCTTGTAATTGGGTAGTCTGACACTGAGGAGTTGAGAGAGGGTGATTCATTTAGTAAAAAGACAATACTGAGTAAGTATTGGATAAATACTCCAGTGCCTAATGAGATGGGAGAACAGTCATGAGTAAAAATATAGAGCTAGAAAAAAGTTCTGAGTGAGAATAATATCTGGACAGAGGACTGTGGAGATGGGGAAAAACCTAATGGCTCTAGGAACCTGGAAGTGTTCTGTAAGCAGAACTTAAAGAGACCATTTGTTACAGCTTTAGTTTACTGAGAAGTGTCTCTTAGATTTTAGGTAAAGTTTGTGACACTTGAAAGAGTTAACACCTCTAACTTCAAAGTGAGGCTGAGGTATGAGGGGGTCCCTTGAGCAGAAACAATTGTAAAGTTTACCTTAATATGCCTAGGTAAGTTGTGGATAAATGATTGTCAAGAAGCAGTACAGACACACACAATATAAGGTCACATTAAGAGCACAAAAGAGGAGAAACAAGAAACAAGAATCAGGAAACAAGGAGAAGAGAGAGGAGACCAGAGGAGTTGGGACTTGTGCCAGGCTGGAGCCCCTACTTCATAATCATCCAAATCAAATCTGACTGGAGCTACATTAAGTATCTGAACCTTATTAGAAAGAGCATGGTATTCTGTGTTTTTGGGGAACTTGGGTTTCCTGGGTGAAAGATAGCTCAGTTATTTATTTGAGTACAGATTTCAATAAAGTTGCATATTATTTTCATGCATGGAAAGACAAGAAATTATGGAAAATTCTCAATTTAATAGTGAATCGTTTGTTTTCTTGGGTAATGTCAACAGATGATTTCAGCAGAAAAAAAGTTGCTTTTCTTTCTCAGAAGTTTCTAACCCATTGAGCCCAGTTTTCCACTGTGAAAAACTGTCCATGTAATTAATTTTACGCAGTTAGTCCACAGGATTGGGGCAGCACTCGAAGAGCACGACCCAGATAGCAGTCTGAGTGGAGTATTCCTGGTGATGACACCATAGTTGTGTTTGAGAAGGGTCGGGAAAGGTAGATCAAGGTCTTCCCTATCACAAAAGCATGGGATGCACAGCCAATCATGGGCAACTTGAAAATGGTCCAATCTGAGATACAAATACTAGGGTGCAACATTTGTTCCTCTCAACCCAAGGCTGGCCGGGTCCATAGAGGGTACAGAGAAGGCTGGGCATAAGGTGAAGACAAAGTGGGCCTCCAGCCCATTGCCCCATCGGTCTGATCCAACACACCACCAAGTGGTGATCAGTTGAAATCTGCCCCTCTCTTTACACAAGTGTCCAGAACATACAACCTTAGCCCTCATGACACAACTGTGAAGTCAATCATCAACCTTCGTCCCAGGGACAGTCCGTGACCGGCACAGAAGACCAATAACAAATTACCACTCGGGTCTGATCAGGGAGGCTGTTCCTCCCTGTCATGTCTCTCGCGATTATTCCCCATCTGAGCATTGAAATTTCCCAGAAATTTCCTAATATCCAGTCGGTACATTTGAATGTCCCACACCAGCTCAGCCTCCTTCCCCCTGAGTGAAGTGACATTCCACACCTAAGAGCCAGTTTCCAATGACTGACATTACACCTGACCCTCGAAGGTGAGTCCATCCGACGGCTCCACTTCAGTATATCTGGCTGAGCCCTGTTGGGTTACGTGGGTAGCCCAGCCACCAGATGCTCACCGGCAAAGACCACCCCCAGATACAGAATTGTAGAAAAACAAAAAAGGAATGGGAAATACCCAGAGATTCGGAAAAACAAATGTGTGTGTGTTAAGAGAAGGTGGCTGCAGTGTGTGTATGCAGGGTTGAAAGAATAGAATAGACACAAGGAGTAGAATAAACACAATATTTTTTTAATATTGTGATATATAATTATAAAACTATATTATCAACCACCAAAGTTTCTATAATCACACTTTATAAATGTGTTTGTAGATATTACTACTTTATTATTGGTTAATTAAAAAGTCTAACCACGGATGTACAAACCTCTTCCTTTTCACTCGGCGAGTCCCGTATTGAATTATTTTATTTTTTTGTTTTCGAATCAAACTTGTACGTGTAGTGTACAAGAAATGACATACTACTCGAAAAAACAATCCCGCAACGTAGGCGACACAAGTACTGTAGTCTTTTCCACTCAATTGGCTTTTTGACAAAAACTTCCAACAGTTCTTCTAAAGCCTCATTACTGACGTCTAGCGAGCGCTTTCTCGATTCACTTTCCAGTCGCTCCGACTGAAGTGCAAACGTATTTTATCAAGTTCTGCACACATTTATCTAATGGGTTGTAGGGCTTGTGATTATGGGTGTGTCCAGACATGGTACAACGACAGGAGGTGTGCCTAATCAGAAATATTTTATAAGGAGGTGTGTTTATGAATGAGCGTGTTACTACATTTGTAGTGACTGAATCCGGCGGAAAGCAACCATTAAGATTCAGGAAAAAACGAAACTCGGTAACCTCAAAACGTGCACTTGAAAACTGAAATCAGTCAGTGCTACGTTAAGTGGCATTTATGTGTATATTCCAGATATTTGGTTTTAAAAGATAGGATATTTTTATTTGATTCTTGCACACGTTATAATCTCAGGGAAACAGTATGGCTTATGTAGGGAATGGAGCTGGAAATCTAGACGTTGAAGAGGTAAGTTTTAATTGCATTTTAAGACCTATATGTCATATATTTATTTTCAAAACAGCATTCATTTTGGTACGTCTTACTGTTGTACAATATGACATACCCAGTACTGTAACTATGGTGTATGCAACAATGACATTGTTTTGATTTAACCTGTCAGTTTAACCGAACTGTAGCAGAGTGTAGTGTAATGGTGTGCAAAACGAATCCGTCAAGGTTGTAGTCACGCAATACCGGTAAACGGGCAGCAGAAAATGTTTCATAGGAAAATAATCTTTTGTCGGAGACTACGCAATGGAGAGTTAATGTTATAAACGAAATGACACGAAAGTACGACCATCTTAATATTTGATTGGATGTTTGATGAGAACCCGGTGCATTGGTATTAGAGTAAAAAAACATGAAAAAATAGTATTGGCATAAAATAAGCTTTTGCAACTGAGGCATGTAGCCATATGTCTTCTTAAAAGCGAACTCCCCATCTTTACACATTCATTAGGCTGTCCTTCTCCCAGCCCACCGACGTGCAGATTGTTGCCAAAAATCTTGTGACGGGTATCTTGTGTTTTTGGCAGTGTCAATTCACGATATTTTACATTTTCGTAGTTTTGTTTTTACTCGCTCAAATGTTTTCAACCATTCATTACAACCACCGAAAATACGGTCACCTTAATAACTACCGAGGTCTAGAAACAAACTCCTTACATACAAATGTTGTAAAGCAGGCTACTATCCTACCAGGTTGTTTTTTGTCAGTAGAAGTTAAGGTTTATTTTTATAACCGATCATCCGGAAATACAGACTTTGTAATTTGGTGTGCACTTGTACTGCTGCAGTACCTCCCCTGCCTTCGTGGTGGTTTGTCCCAGCTAAATGTGGTCCCTTGAGCCTGTGTGTGAATTTTTGCCAGTTCCCACAGTTGCGGTCTTTAACTGTCAGATTATGAAAATCCGGGGAGATTTTGAGTTTAGAGGAATTTAGAAATGTTTCTGCCAAAGCTCAGCGTGTTTTCTTTTGCATTTTGGAAAATGTGCTTGTGTTTTTTTTAAATCCAGAAATGCTTTATTTTCCTAAAACGTTTTGTCACTTTTGTAAATCTAAGCCTTCGAAAAATTTAATTGAAAACCCCTTTTCACTCAGATTGACGTATGGTAACAAAACAGCACGGTCAAAAACAATCAGAGAAGAAGGGCATCTAATTGATCCCCGCACATATCTGCCTTTGTACCAATTCTTGAGGAACATAATAAAGTACTACGTCTAAAGCATTTGCACCTCTGATTTGTAGTAAATATTGTTTTAAAATAACATTTTTCAGCTGCCTGTGCTCCAACACTACTCCTAAACATATTTTCTAAAAATGACAAAAATGGTTCACCCTCTTACATTAAAACAGTTTGACAAAATGTGTCGTTGCATTCTAGGATTATAAATTTAAATTGTTTAAAACGTATTTAAAAAACTAAAATCAATTAAGCAGGGTGCAGTCATGCCTGTACTGGCAGGCATTGCGAAATTAGTTCATGCTGAAACTGTACCCTGTTTTAAGTCCACAAAATCGTCTTGGCTCGTGATAATGAAACTCTGCAAATTAAGCATTGCAAAAAACAGACTTAGTGAGCATCAGACAAGAATGCCATTGTTGTGATTTTTACTTTGCGCTTGTGGTGTTAAGCCGTTGGATTGAGAGAACGGTTGCCTGGCCATGGGGCTGAGGCCATTGAAAAAATCTCCCACTAAGTGGAATGAGCCTGAGCACTGTTGCTGATCATAGGGGAGGACAAAGCACGCAAAGTAACAAACACTAGGGCAGCAGTTGCTTCTTTGAGGGCTGCTGATGTGTGAGGTCTGGTTTCTAAACTGCGTAAATTCCTACCCCAGGTCTGATCAAACCCCACTCTTCATAGAGGGCTGATTAGACCCCACCCTTCTATACATCCATCCATTTTCTAACAACGTCTTCCAATTCAGGGTTTGCGGGGGAGCCAGAGCCTATCCTGGCAAGTAACTGGTGCAAGGCAGGGTACACCCTCAACGGAGTACCTGTCAACAGCAGGTCACACACATCCAAACACACGTATGCCAGTACCGGTTATCCCAGAGGCAAGATAACGTACTATTGTGCCTTTGGGATTATGGAAGGAAACTTGAACACCAGAGAAAAAACCCACACAATCACTGGGAGAACATACAAACACCACACGGATAGCACCCCAGGTCTGGTTTTGACTTGGGACCCTAGTGCTGTGCGCAGCAATGCTAATTACTGCTCCACAGCTCTACTTCCCACCCTTCTAATCTCTATAATGTTCTGCAGAATTTCATTTTTCTTCAGTGGCTAGATTTTGGTGCTGAAGAGAGAATTAAAGAAAGAATAGAATTGCTGCCTAATTCCATCATTTCTGCCACTTTTTTTCCTGTCAGCAGTAGTTAATGAAGTTACTTTCAAGGTTTTCAGTGTATGATTTGGAAGGATGCATATGATATTTTTTAAACTTTTTTGTTTTTACATTTACATACAATAAACTTAGTTGCGCTGTAGGTTTTGCACTGATCCTAGAAACAAAAGTAATCAAATACTCGGAGGTGTTTAGCGTTGGTAACATCACTTGAGGTTATGTAGTGAGAAGTGGCATTACCCTCTCATGTTTCTTGTGACTTAAGCCTTTCCTGTGTTTTATACATGAAGACTTTGGAGTGCTGAGAATAGACTGAGTGCTAAAGTAGGGTATAGAGTGAGTGTGCTATGTGCAGTGAAGAGGCAACTTTTCTTGAGGTTAAGTGTATTCATGTGAATAACAATTTACCTTATAGAAAGCCAGTAGTGCAGGGAAAATATATACTTAATACTAGTAAATGGTTGGAGTTGAGACAAGGTTGATGTTCTCAGGATTTTTCTCTAATATCAAAGAATAAATACATTCAATTCCAGTTACCATTGTAGACATCTTTTTTGATTACAGCCCCAATAAAGAAAATCAGTGGAAGGGTAGAATATAATAAAGTGCATGTCATTACGTAACCCTGTCACAGAGATAAGGTGCTAAAACAATGGTTAGATTGTGGTACTGAAGAGTCCTCGGCTTTGACTAATGACGAGTCTCAGTCTCTCCAAAAGTCCTCCTGAACATTAATTGTGAAGTAGAGAAGATTAGGTGTCCCTTTGCGGGATGCCTAATACTTACCCTGGTCCTCTCTGTTCCATACATGGAGTTGTAAAGGTCAATTGGAAACTCATTCTCACTGGCATATTTGCAAATCATTCAAAATGCACACAAGGAGAATGCAGTTTTGACATAATCAGCTCATGCACATCATCATTTATTCTTGGTCAGAGTTGCATGTTTCCACACTGCAAAGTAGATGGGGGGTCCATCCATCCATTATTAGACAGCAGCTTGCTCCTGGTTAAGATCAAGACAACCTAGATTCTGGAAGCACAGTTTGCAAGACAGAAGGAAGTTTTTCTTTATATTCCACTGTTCAGTAGGCCTGCCCAAATACAATCTAAACTGCCCTCAGTTGAATTTCAGGTGCTTTTGTCACATAACTTTGTGACATTCAAGTATAAAAACATTAAAAATGACAATATAGGTATTGTTGTTTAAGGTAACATTGGTGCCAGTGATTGTCTCTTAAGTTGTTTTAAATACTGCGCTATCAATTGTTTCGGCTTGTCTAGAAGTGGATCAGCCTATTCAGTAGGTTTGTTGTCAAGGGAAACTGGTATGCTGTGCATGCAGTGTGTCATAGAGGACAGAGTGAAGTGCATTCGTCACATGGTTTTGGTGTATTGTATAATATTGGCTTGACTTAACAGTGAGTTAGTACAGTGTAAAGCAGTTCAGAAAGAACAAGTGAAGGTTAATTTCATGATGAAAAATAGAAAATAGTTTTGGCTGTCGAGCCTTCTTCATGTCCTCAGATGCAACTAAAGAAGGTTGAAAAGCTGGTGTGTTTTTTCCTGCCTTTCAGCCTTCAGGTAACCTCAATTTCTTCATTTGCTCCCTGCACATTGATGTAACTGCCCACGTGAACCGGTACAAAACAAATTCTGCTATGAGCGCCAAAAAAGAAATGTTTCAAACATTTACTTAAAGGATTTCATTGTAGTCATTTTTATACATCATTTTTTTTTATTTGTAAACTGTAGCCTATTGTGCAGTTGCTCAATGGAAAAAAAAATAAAATGATCTTTATACCTGTTTTTTTTTTCACTGCATTGATTTCTGCATGAACTATTGACAATCAGCAGTTCAGTCTACTGCACTGGTCACATTGCATGAAACGACATTCCACTGTGGAACATATAATTCCACAAACCACAAAAAAAACTGTTTTTCTATTCATCACAAACTTTTATGTAAAATATCCATAATTGGTTTTGCATGGCATATTTGCAAAATGTTTGCTTAACCCAAAAGCTCCTGGCAATTTTCCATACTTGCAGCAAGGTTGTCACTAACGGATGTTAAAACAATACTTCTTAAAGCCAATTTGTATTACCAACATTCATTAGCAGTAAATGTTTTTGTGCATTGCAACTAAAAATTTTTCCACAAATAGAAAACAAAAGCAAGAGGATAGAGGCATCAGCTTCTTTGGTTTCACTGAAGTCATGGTCTGTCCTTGGTGACCCTGAAAACTTCACATGTTCTGAGCTAGAGTGTGCTCTAGTGTATCACCGTCATCATCATCAACAACCTATTGTTATTAAAGAAGGATAGCATCCTCTCAGAAATTTTAACTTTTTTTAAACTGGGATCTGTTTTTGTATCAGGAGAGTGGGGTATATGTATGTTTTTGATTGTGTACTGTTTTTTTATGGTTGTTGGTGATAGTGTGTTTTACAAATGGAAGAAGAGCACAGTAGCTTTTAGCCTTTCATAGCTGTGGACTTACTGTGTACTGTATATGCCTTCCTCTGAAAGAGAAGTGTACTTTCACTTGTCATTGGTGTCAATTTTAAGGCAAAATGCATTTATTTAAAACCTCCATCTAGCTCT